AATCTTGAAGTCTATTCAAACAAGGATGGGAGGCAGAGTTGGTCTGTGCCAACATTCCTGCTGAGAATTAGCCCAGTTTCATATGTGTGTGGGAGCCCCCACTCGCCACTCTTGCCTGCTTGGGGTACGCAGATAGAGCTGGAGCCCCTGCAGGGAGTGCAGAGTTAGGAAACCACATGATAGAATACTATCACTTACTCTTTCATAATGAGCACTGTGCAGGGAAACTGAAAACAAACCAGCTTTTCTACCGTTCTGAGCAGCTGTGGTTCTCTTGGGGAAAGCTCCTTATAGCAAGAAAAACAGTCTCTGAGCGAGCACAGGCCCCAGGAGTCCCGTCTGTCCTTTTAAACTCCAATTAACCAGAGTACTAAGGGACGCATTTGCTGCTTGGGCTGAGCTTTCATTCTGTGGTTGAAGAGACTGAAACCAAGGAGGTGAATGGGGCTCTTCCACACTGAAGGTTTGTTAGGATCCAGCTCTATTTGTACTACCTAGGACTTCTGATAACCTGGGAACCAAACTCCATAAACCTGCATGTGGTTATACTCAGCCAGACGTCATCCAGTGATGGAATGGGAGAGATTATAAGAGTACATTGTGAACCCTTTTCAGATTGGAAGAAAAAAGAGAATGGACTAAAAACTGGATCTTATGATGAATATTCATGCCATATACAAGACTTAGTTTCTCAGATGGTATGATTTTCTCTTTTTATCTATAAACTGTCCGTTCATTTGAATAGGTGTGGCATTCATACAGTCAGCCTGTGAACTTGACTTTTAGGTACTCCTTACCTTCTGAGCATGTAGGAAGAGGTTAGCTATAAGTGGTGTGGGACATACTACTGGGGAACCACACCGAAACCTTTCCATCTAAGAAGGGTTGGACAATCCCAGGTCTTTGTCTCACGCCTACAATCATTCTTTTTTAGATTTTTCTAATCCCATAGGTTTTTGACTCTGGAAACCTTTCCACAGGATTATATAAATAACACCTTAGCTTGACTTGCATTGGATCTGCCATATTTTGTAAGCAGACATGTTAGTAAAAGCTCTCCCTGGAGTCTGATTTTAAGCACATTATTTTTCCCTGCTTTGGAGTTGCATTATTCTCTTTCCCCCTTTGTAGTAATGAGGAACACTTCCTGTTCGGGGTCACTTAACCTCCCTCCACTCTTGGAGAATAGTGAGTTAGCAGTATATTTGTCAAAGAGAATTTGACCTGGAAACTAAGAATACCGTGGGTAGGCATGTGATACCCGACCCTGTAATTCATGAAGATTGTTGCATCCTAGCCCAATTCAAGAGCTTACCTTGGCAAAGTGCTTACCTGTTCATCTTCCTAGACTTTAGAATGGCCTGACTCTGAATGAAGTACTACATTAATGTAAAACGATTACTATAGCTTTATCTATTTGGATCTTGTGTTAAATTAGACCCAGAATTTTTTCTCCATGTGCACTGCAGAGTCAGCCACACTTGGGCACCTGCTAGGTTTACATGGGCATCTTTCTGACTGTGAGTTCCTTTTTGGTAAGGGATTAAGTTTGATAAGGGACTAACATTGCATCTGGCAAATAGTAAAACTCTGAATCTGTGCCGAATGAAGGGGATTGGTGGAAAGTTGGGCTTTCCGAAGTGTTCTGTCCTGAGACCACTCCAGATGGACATGGTTCTCCCATGGCCTACCACAACTAGTTCTCGAAAGGCTGAGCTGCAGCTTGATTTTCTTTCAAAGATTATGAGTAAAGGCATCATTCACCTGAGATTTGCCTGGCAGCATTTATCATAATAAATTTTACTTACAGGAAAAATTCTTTGTCTTAGATATGATTCTCTCATGATTATGAACTGTGTAGTTACTGTGCCAGTGAAAATCACCAGTGGACAACCTTACTGGTGGCAAAACCTGTCATCCACAGAGTAGCCCAATGGTTCACTCATCCCTGATGATACCAGGCAGTAAAGCTAAGGGAAAGCATTATCACCTGAGCCGGCACTTTCTTTACCTATTCTGAACATTTGCTCAGCATCTTACTACGTGTAAAATTTCTCCTGGATGTAGCTTCTTTCTTCAGTGTAAATCTGAAAGAATGCATTTCTAAATTACAATTCGTAAACATAATTTGTGCCTATTAGAGATGTTGTTTCTACTTCCTTTCAAATCAGTTTGGGGTGTAGTGGTAAGATTCAGTGGTCTGTGACATACACTAGGTACTTAGCAACATAGAAAAGGGGGCAGAAAAGGACAGAATAGAGGGAGGGAAGACCTTCAGGCTTGAGCCTCAGTGTGAGTCCAACAGGTTATGCTACTGTCTAGCTAGGTAATCTGGTAATGTTCATTAACTTACAACTCTTAAATTTGTTACTCTCTAAAGTGAGCTAATACATCTTGCACATAGTTTAAAAGAATCATAAATGAGTTGACATGTATAAATGTCTGCCCTAGATTCACACCATGAATGAAATGTTCATGAATACCAGTAACTGTCTTCTCTGGCAAAGTGCTTACCTGTTCATCTTCCTAGACTTTAGAATGTGCCCACATTCTAGTGAAGAACAGAGAGAGCCAAGCACACTGATTCCTCACAAGAGCAGGCAGTCACAGATGGCCACTCCTCCTGAGTGCTGCCATGAACTTGAAGGGTTTATGGTGCTTGAACTACCCAAAAATATGTTTCCCCATCTTTCTGGCCTCTCAGGATTCAGTCATAATTTCCACCTAACGCTGCTCTCTATAAGAGGGCCAGAGATGGGCCTGGAGAGATGGCTCGGTGGTTAAGAATGCTGGTTGTTCTTGCAGAAGACCCAGGTTCAAATCCCAGCACCCATATGACAGCTAACAACTGTCTGTAACTTCAGTTCTAGGGGATCTGACAGCCTCTTCTGTTCTCTGCAGGCATTGCATGACACAGGTGCACTTACCTACATGCAGGCAATATACGCATATACATAAAATAAAAATAACAAAGTGTTTTTACAAATTAAAAAAAAAAGCCTACTGGAAAATACACATGTAACATAAATGGA